TACGAGAGTTGTAATGACATCAGATCGTAGAGATATTATCTCGCTTGCGTGCAGAATGCCAAGTTCTGCCTTTGTTGGTTCGTGACTCGCTGTTAGGAAGGTATGCACTAATTTTGTGGTTGAGTATCTTTCATTTGTGTGTAAATATTTGATAATTCGGTGAGTGGGCTTTTCCGCCGTGTTAATGTGTCTTTTATCTTTCCCGGAACTTCAAACGCAAAACAATAACAATACGCAGAATAAACTCAATCAATTGAAATCAGATGGCTATTGTCAGCACTTCTACTTTCTAGTATTTCATACACCACTTACCAATAACTTGTTTACACTGAAATTTCAGTAAGATTCCACAAGCTGTGGACCACAACGGAATCAAGAATATCAATACAAGACTGAGACGGAACCATCAGTGTTGCACTGCAAGTACAGAGACATAAGCGCAATAACGACCATATACCCTACATGGCACACGGGTTTCATGACGAAACCACCAGTGTTGCACTGCAAGTACAGAGACATGAGACCTACATGGACCGTGGTAACTCATTCATAATGTATTAAGATTCTTGACAAATGGGAAACGTGACGTACGGGACTCATAAGAGAGCGTGTCACGTCACGAATGAGGGACGAAAATGAGAGAGGATGGAATAAGGACATGTATATGCGTAAGCTGGACACAAGATGAGGCTGTGGTGAGACAGACGAACTATCGTAGTTCGGCACAGAACTAACCTCACCATATTTGTTATCCACCAACTCCATAAACTCAAGACTGTTAGATACTAAATCGGAGTCCGATTATCGGACTCAGTAACGTTACACGACCCACTAAGGATGAATGAAAACAGTGAAACATGGGATGGAAACAGAGTGATGACATGTTCATATTATGAAATTCACAAGACTAACAATTGGTCCATAAATTGTTTATAACAATTTATTTACACTTCGCTCCGCTGGTTGCACAATTTCTTGAATGTTGGTATAATCTGTGTCTTCCGACGACTAGGCAAAACCCGTATACTCATGAATCATGCCAAGTCGCGGAAATCAGTATTCAGCAAGAGTTACTGAATTCCTTCCTACGTAGGTGTTATACCAACCATTTTCCGCCGCCAACCAAATCGTTCTTTCACCAAGAACTCCGCCGTTTTCTAGTCCAGTATCGGAAACGCCGACCCGGTGTTATCAGCGTAATATTCCGTATTTGACCGCTTGTCTTGGTGTTTGGCAAATGAAATCTGTGCGGTGGTTACTTGGCGAAATCCGAGTTGGCGAAACCTGTTACGCCCGCCCCTGGGCCCTTTGAAGAGAAGGGCCGCCCAGCCCGAAATAACCCTTTGGTGGCGGTTTCAATGTGCGCGAATACTCTCTACATACGTGAAAGGGAAAACCCTCGAATCGATGCCCATTCAATGTCAAGGAGCCATAGCGAGTGAGACTTTTGATGGTCGAGCCGTCGGCGGAATAGGATGTCATCACCGCCGGGTCATTGTCGAAATCACAAGGGGCGCTTCCCGGGCAATCAAAACATGCTCCGTCGGCTTCCAGACAAGAGCTTTTACCATATTTACTCTCATACCACTCGCCGTCCATCACACGTAGATGATTCGAACCAGTATCAAGTAGAAGATGCCGACGTTGACCGTTTACGTCGACAACCACATGCCCATCTACGATGGGTATAGTGATAGAGTTCCTCGTGAGAGGGCCAGCCTCGCAGGCGACAACTATCAGTAGACCACTTATGAACGACATTATATGGATGGAAATGATTGTAGCTCCGAACTGTTGACAACCAGTGAGGAAACTCAAGAGTGCAAGTCGGCAAGACGTCAACACACGTCATCACACACTTGAGAAGAAAATCCCGGAAAGCGTCTGTTCTCACCGTTTATCCCCTCGTTAAATCGTCTGAGTTGGGCTGAGTTACTATCGTTCATCGCGC